TTTGACCCATTCGCATCAGAGTTCCATAATGCCTATATAGTTTCATTCTGAAGAATTCAAATCACCATTCTTCTCGGCAAGAGAACAGCATACTGGAAAATGTTGCAATTGCAACCACTTTGTAATAATAAAGCATGCCAACATAAAACCTGTGTTTTGGGATTTTTTCGTGTGCTACAAATGTGTGTTCTATTGATAAAAATTATCAAAGTCCTCGTGTGAGATCGAAGGGACTTCAGCGCATTTTTGTGTGGCAGATCAGTGTTTTAATAGCCAGTGTTGACTAGACCATCAGTAAGATCGTGTCGGGGGCTACCACACAACAATCCCTTTGACGGTACCCACTTCCGACGTCCCGTTCACCCGCAATTCGCGTTTGAAGATTTGACTCCACCATCAGGAGGGTCGTTTCGAGGGCTACCACATTCCCTTTGTTGGTATCCACTTCCGACTCCCCATTTACTCGCAGTTCGCGATTGAAGATTTGACTCCACCATCAGTAAGATCGTGTCGCGGGCTACCGCAGTCCCTTTGTTGGTACCCACTTCCGACGCCCCGTTCACCCCAAATTCGCGTTTGAAGTTTTCACTCCACCATCAGTTAGATCTTGTCGGAGGCTACCACATTTCCTTTTTCGGTGCATACTTATATTACACCCACATTTTGGTGGATTTCGCTAAAAACCTTCCACAAGATAGTACTTAATTTTTGGGGCACTTCTCATTGCTCGAGCTTCTATTGGCGACACGAGAAAGAGAGACAGCGATTCGAGATTTACGAAACGTTAAACCGCGTGACAAAATTCGCAACGGAAGGTAAAAGGCGCCCGAAAGTTGGCTACCTCTCGGAGACGCGCGCGCGCGCCTTGAAAGAGGTTGTTAATTTCGCCCCTAGGACAAAAAACAAAATTCCGCCACGCAGGAGTGCGCGTTTACAACATTTTTCCGACGACACCAATTTGAAAAGAATCGGACCAAGACCAAAACTGTAGTAGAAGATAGGAAAAAACTGAAAAACCTTCACGTTAGTAAACTACGCTCGAGGATGACGCCCAGATGTCGCCAACCCCACATTGTGTAGCAATGTCCCTAAGTTTGACAAATTACACGGCCCGGTAGATACATGTATACCCGTTGCCTTTCTACAAGAGTTCTTCTACGCGCCCACATTTGCTGCCAGCCAGCTAGCCAACGTGAGATTAAAAGCTACTTTTTACAAATAAATTTGCAAAAATGCACTAATTACAAATAAATTTGCAAAAATGCGCTAAAAATTCCCTAAGCGCGGACTGTATAAAACTTTGTAAAAGAGGTTGCATTTATTATTTCGTCCAAATACCATTTTGCCGTCATTTCGCCCACTGCAGGTCCCGAATCCTTGTGTGCCGAAAACAATGTTGAGGGCACAAAAACGGGAAGATTCAAACTGCGTCCTCGCTGATCGATCATGATGCTAGTAGAGGAACCGAAGCGAGATAGTCAGCAGGTATCAAAAGCTTCGGCGACTTTCTCGGCGATGATTGGTCTTGAGAGGGTAGGCCTCGGCCACCTAGTATACTTGTATAATTATCTAGAGCCATCAAAGGATCAGACAATAGTGATATGGACCGACAGGTAAAATTTATATATTAATAGATTATAAATAAAATTTTAACTCTATTTTCTCCGTCTCTCTCTCTCTCTGTCCCTCCCTCCCTTCCTCCCTCCCACCCCTCCCTAGGTAGGTAAAGCTTTCTGGTATCTACCTGCGTAGGTAAATGGTAAAACGCAATTGTTTAAAAATGGGTCCTTTGTACCGATGGCAATTGTGTAACTTATTTCCTTGCATATTTCGGTCTCCTATACCTATTTCTAAGCATTAATTACAGTGTGTCCAGGCACAATAACAACCACTTTCGGTACCAAATTTGACATCCGCTTCTAAAGCATATCATTATTTATGTCCAAAAAAAAAAAACAAAAGAGGAATGAGGTTGGACAGACAGACGGCGTTAGGAAATTGTGCATTGCCGGGATAACCGATGCCGGGAAAGCAACAGTCGCCGTGATAGGTCGTGCCGAGGTGTACGTCGCCGGGATGGCACAGCGAAGGGTTAAACCTAACCTAAATTTTTTATTTTTTTTTTATACAGAACGTTACTATTTACGTGTTACAAATCCAACACTCTGCCCCATTTTAACTCTCCGCCCCGATTAACACTGCAAAGTGCAAAGCACTTCGCCACTGCATCACTGATCTTTAAAGCTGTCCATTTGATTCATGCCTTTATGCCACGAGAAAGTTATTAATATTTTGCTTTTAATGCTCTTTAGGTAGGCATTCCGAAGGGACGTTGGATGCGTGTCGTTTTTCATGGCGGTGATTAATTGAACATATATATAGAACTTTGCAGAATTAGCCAGAAAATTGATTAAAATATCACTGCGGTTATTCTCTTTTACTGCACATAACGCGTCAACTAGTGATAGTCTTCTACCTTGCCAGATGTTACTTGCCCACTCGATAACAAGGCTCCAAATTTCTTTGGTTAAAGGGCATTCTATTATTATCATATGCCAAGCGTTAGCCGTGATCTTTTCACAAACCTGGCAGTTCTCGGTAACCCTGATGTTGCTTTGAGCAGATAGGTCGGATCTGCTAATCTGTTTTTCGCAAAACGCCAGCTAATTTCTACCATTGAACCAAATGTACAGGAGTTGAAAAATGATGACCAGTTAGTATCGTTCTCGGTCCAGTGGTTACTAAAGCATTTGTCGGAAGTCCTTTGAAAGTACTCAGCGATGATTAGGTTTTGTAGTTTTCTTCTGTTGCTTTTATGTAGAGTTAATGTGGTGCCTCCAAAGTACTTAAATTTTAGTACAATTTCATAAGTATTTCTGCTGTTTACATCGCGCTCGATATACAGTGCCTGGAATGGAAAAAACTCTAATCCTTCTGTAGTGGGCTATAAGTTGGTTCCTGACATTCATAGTAGCATTTTCAGGCAAAAGTAAGTCCTCTTCGTCCACCCATCTATCCCCAATCCTGAAGTCGCCTATCGTTTTGTAACCCCACTTAGCCCAGTTGGCACTAAATAATGGCGGTACGGCAGGTGATATTAACTTGACGTAATGACGTTGTGGTTGGGGTTTTAAGAAAGTCGAAGTGCTCCAATGTGAAATTTATTGCTTGCATGTTAGAGATAAGTATTTCTAAGTAATAAACACACTAAAATTGCAAAACATATTAGGTATTTCTTTACAATTATTGTGTATCACTTATCTACACTGATTTATATAACTACGAAAGTCTTCTTTACTATTAAAATTACACAAAAGTTCGATAACACATTACCAAAACAAACGATTTAACCTCAATCCATCCGTTATGTCAAACTGCAGGGGTAAATGCTTGGCAAATAGCACTACGCCACTACTAATAACAGGCAAGCGCATTAGAGCTTATTCCACAGTAGTATATTTCCCTCTTCCAATGTTGGCCATAGGCGTGTCCACTCGTTTATCCATATATCTCATTTATATATGGTTTATGTATGCTGCCAACTGCCAACTTAAAAGGTGTTTCCAACTTAAGACATATTAGGTAATTCTAAAGTTTCCTGTAGTTTTTGATAATTACTTTTTAATTAAATTAAAGCATCGAAATAGAAAAAATAGTATGAAAAACACGTGTTACAATGCTTTACTCGTTTCCTGTAATACTCCTATCTTGTGGACACTTGTCGTTCAATACTTTTACCACTGATCAGGGGCGGACTGGCACGGGGGGGCGGGTGGCGACTGCCACCTGGCCTGTAGATCATAATGGCCCGTTGGAAATTTATAAGTATGTGCTGTATTTAGTTTCTTGCACTATTAATAAACTATTAACACGTTTCTCTAATTGGGGTTGATTTCTGTTTTAATTGTTAAGTGGCCCGCAGTTACCCAGCCCGCCCCTGCCACAGATGATACTATAGTCGTTCTGATCTCGGTGCTGGAAAGTGTGAACACTAGCGTTCATTTTCCCTTTGGAAAAATGTGCTAAAAAATATATTTCTTATGACGTAAAAATCAGTTTGTTCTGGACTTCTGGTGAAAGTGAAAAGGATAGAGCCGGATTTCATAAGCACACTGCTTACTTTTGTTCAGCAGGTTGCTTACGTTTACGTTTTCCGTATTGAAAAATGTGTCTCAGTCCTGACAAAACTTCAGACGGACCGACAGAATTTGTGCGCAGGCAGACAGAAGCCGTTATCTTTTTCATACGCGAATATCGTTTTTTTTTTCTAACAAGGTCACAACCGAAATACCCTCGTTGGAACAAATAACCGAAATTCTCAAAGTTCTGTCTTCGACACGATTTTATTGGCTAAACTAGGTCATTTGGAAGAAAAAATTGACCCTCTGAAACTGTTTATTGGGATACATTTTTAACTGCTTCCCAAATATACAATTCCGTGATTTTGGTAATAATGAGCGCATTCCTGCTTTCTGCTAGACACACGGATGACGGAATTTTCGTTTTTCAGTTCACCCCTTTGATATTTTATACACACCTACGCGCGGAGCGTGTTACAATTGTAGCATCTAAAGGTATAGGGGTTATAGTTACAATGGAGAAAAGTGAACAATTGGCCTAAAACTTGCGAAACTCGTTGCGAGAGTAAGAATAAGTCCCTTTTTATAGAACGCAGATATTTAATTAGGTACTTGGGAGTTCATTGTAAGTACATATCTCCCGCATTTCGATTTTTCACATTAGTATGCTACGCCACGAATATCGGGCAGCTGTAAAGCTGTTTTGTCTATTATCATTCAACAAAATATACTTCTGGAATATATTTAACCAGAAGTTGAATGGGTGTCTTGTATTAGTCATCATTCTATTTCCTTTCGCGAGTAACGCGTGCGCTATACACGTATTAAAATAATAACGAAGCGGTACAATGCAAAACGTTCCGTGGAAATCAGGGTACGTACGGAATAACCTGAGTGTCTATGACTCACAATCGAGCATTTCAGTCGTCATCGTTTTCGATGCGTGAGAGTACGTTCTCTATTCTAATACTACCGCTACTGTTACATGAAAAACGCGGGTTAACTGTAGTATCAAAAAACAAAATATGTTCCGTATGGCTTATCACAGACATCTTAAGGCAGTCATCCATTGTGGCGATTAATGGTGATGCCTTTTCAAAATATTTACGTGAAAATTGTGTCAGTGGATGTGTACTTCCTTAATGTAAATATTGGCTTTAAATATCTTCGATATTTCTAAGCCAGATAAGCTAACACATTTCACAGTTTCTGGATTTTTGTTTTGGTAAGCCAAAAACGGAAAACTTACACTTCACAGCGCTTGTTTGTATTTGTAAAGAAAAAGCAAAAGTAATGCCGTGTATGCAATATTTACATGCTTAGAATATAACGCAACTTTCTACATTCACGAAATTTCTACAAGACCTAGAATTTAGCTTGCGGAATATTGATCAAAGTTCAAATATCTTCATTATCTGCGCGAGTAATTCAGCAAATGTTAGCTGAAACAAATACCATTTCCCTGGAAATTGAATCACAGAAAGCACAACGTTAACATAAAAAAATGCGCCCGACTAGACGCACCTTCAGCCATAATAATTGAGCAGTCATCAAATGCCATTGCCAAACATAAATTATAATCTACCTTTACAAAACACCTTTAAGATAAGTTGTCGCAGTGCAGTTGTTTTGTCAATAGAATTTTAAATTTATACTAAACACCTTATCGGTAAGTATCGCTAATGCCACCACGAGCGACCTGGATAAGCAATCATTATCAAGAAAAATTCAGTGGACGGCCGATACCATAATATGCCCAGAGAAAATCAAAATTATATAATAAACCGAATCCAGATTTTATCGTCGCTCTCAAATTTAATGGACCAAAAGCATGCATGTATGTCAAAATTGCACATTAAAAACATATGTAGGTACGTCAGTAGAGCCAAAACGTCATCGTGCTCTACGTACCTCGAATTGTAGAGAATTTATACAAAGCGCCCTGGAGGGGAAAGTCTAAACAAACGTTTTATTTTTAGGTGCAATTCATACAGCGGAAATAAATATTTTCATTTAGCCTTAAAAACCAATCCTCTCCAATGGATGGTTTATGTATTTTTGAAAGTTACACGGAAAACTTCTACACTGTCCGCCGTTTTCGCAAGCCCACAATTTAATTTGAGATGTTCAAAAAACTAAACCTTCACATTTTGCCCCTTTAAAATATTTTTTCTCTTTTACAGAGTCAAATGCTCGGTCAAATGTTAATTTTTCAGATTAATCTTCTATTCGTGTGGATTTTTTTACAATATACCTAAATAGCCCTATAGCGTTTTACGCGCGCTTTTGAATAACCTTTCTGAGCGCATTTCCCAGAGGGCTCGTGTTGTGGCCGCATTTATATAAGAAAAAGGATTTCCTTTTACTCCCAAAAATCAAAGCATTTACTTCACATTTTATTCAAAAAGGAAAAGAAGGAAAATATATATTATGCTAGAAGCAAAAAGGATTGCTTTTTTTAAAATTCATAAAAAGTAGCATTTGCTGAAGGATTTACTTCAGAAAATGTGCATCTAGTCCGAAGAAGCTTTTTAATTCGGACACGTGTACAGCAAATGAGTCTAGTTTTCGCGATTTTTAGCGCATTTTTGCAAATGGCTGGCAGCAAATGCGGCCCCATATAAGATCGCTTGCAGAAAGACGAGTGTACGTATACTTACGGGGCCGTATAAGTATATTAACTTAGGGGACGGGGCTACATTGTGGGATCGGCAACATCTGGGCGCCTTCCCCGAGCGTGGTTTACTAACGTGGTGATTTTTCGTATCTTCTACAGTTTTGGTCCGATTGCTGTCAAACTGTTGTCGTCGGAACGCGCATAACTCCTGCTTGACGCCACCTTTTGCGAGACACGCGTCTTTATGGGTAGGCGGCTTCGGGCACCCAAAAGTTACCTTCTGCTTCGAATTTTGTCACGCGGTTTAAAATTTCTTAAAACTCGAATCGCGGTCCTGTTTCTCGTGTCACCAATAGATGCTCTAGCTATATAAAAAATTGAGTACTATTTTGTGGAGGGTTTTTAGCTAAATCCACCAAAATGATTGTGGGGAAGTTAGAAGTGGGTACCGACAAAGGAAATGTGGTAGCCTTCGACAAAATCTTATTGATGATCGAGTCAAAACTGGTTAATAGAATACTGATCTGCCACATAAAATTGATAATTTAAAAAAATCCTAACTGTGCATGGTGGATATGGTGCACCGTGCACGTACACGCACGGAAAGTGTACAAAGAAAGACGTACTCCACGTGAGCGCAAATTCCGAACCCTATTTCGACGAAATAAACGTCCAGTGCGGTTAGCTGACTATTTCATTGAGAGGAATCAGGAAACCAGAGGAGATGCGCTTTGACAAGTACTAAAAATGAAAGTGTTAATGGTACATAGCAGATACGGGCTTCCAGAGCTGCATCGGTGACGGTGAGGAACTAAGATGTTCACAACCTACAGTCTCCAGAATAGTCGATTAGGGAATGAATATCCCTCGGAATATCCTATAATAATTTAACAAAATCCCTTTACATTCCTTTTTTTGATCCAGAGAAATCCCTGCGAATAAACAGGACTAAAAATGACAGTAGTCCGGTTTATTGAAAATCCCGTAGATTTTAATGGGCGTCATATTTCACCTCCTCTATTTTGTCCAGCTCTGGCCTCGGCTCTGGCTGCTGTTCTTTACGATTTTTTGTACTTTCAACTTCTTCCATAAAAAGTTTCGCTCTTTTTAGAGGAATTTTTCAAAAGAAATTACCCATATGTCAGGTTTTGTCCGCCCATTTGTTCCTAGTCTAACTCGAGAACGAAAAGAAAGAGTGATGCCAAATCTTCGCCAATTCTAGGTTTATTACATTTATCTTAAGATCGTGAGAAAATACACTCGTGAAATATGGGTACACCTTGTAACTTGTTCAGTGGCGTACCGTGTTTTACCCTCGGTTTTACCTTGTCTTTCAACTTTCTGCTTGTCAGAGTTGTGTAGTTTCTTCATATACATGCACCCATAATAGTTCTCGAGTTCTATAGATTGGTTTTAGCCGAGGTTTTAGTTCCCTTTGTTTACCTGAAATAATCGCATTTCAACGGTGTTCTTATTGCATCTACAGGGTGAAAACGAAAAGTTTCACTTTTTGAGATGCTATGTTATCAGTTTATCACGAGGTTTATCATATTTTATTACCCATGTAAGATAGAAGATAAGTAAAAAATTAACGTTAAAATATACAGGGTATTGCATTTAAAAAATAGCCACTGGATTCTACGTAAAATACTTAGCTTAGGCAGTTTTTAGCTAGTTTTTTTCCATCTTACATGGGTAGTATAGTAAGATATGATAACATCTCAAAAAGTTAGACCTTTCGTTTTCACCCTGTATCTCAGAAACACGTGTAGATCGATAATTTTTATGATATTAAAAGTTTCATAAAAAAAGTGGTACAGGGTTCCGAAAACCGCAAGTCTCTATCTTTAAAAACAGCTGAGATACACTGCACTCTCAACCAAAATAGGACGTACCTACAACGAAACAAATCTATAAAGGATCGGAGGATCCTTAATAAATGACGCAGTTTATTTCAACCTTAAATACTTAATTAATCATTGATTATCACAAAGTTCTACATTCTACAAAGTACAGAATCGCACGCAAAAAATCGCATTTCGATGTCTTAAAAATTGAAGGACTCGTTGGACTAACAAAGACGAGGAAGACCAAAGCTATAGTAAATGTAATCTGCTAAGACAATGCGCAAGAGTTACTTTTTCGATATGAAATAAACTTGTAACAAATATAGCAAACGAGCTCCTGGGTCACTGAACATTTAATCAGTTCTTCCTTGGGTGGTGATGGTGATAAACAAAATACTGAAAACAGAATTGAAAAATTCAAAACCGTTTGGGGTTATCTTGTCCACAGACGGACGGACGGGCGGACAGAATGTCCAAAATCATGAACTCGCTAGGAGCTCGTTAATAAACTGCACCTCGAACTGCACCTACATAGACAACGAGCGACAAAGTCACTTCCGGTTGACGAATATTGACCAAAATTGAATCGATTAGTCCTTTGCTAGCTAAAAACAGAATTGGAAAATTCGAAACCGTTAGTGAGTTATCGTGTCCACAGACGGACGGACGGGCGGACAGAAAGTCCAAAATTGTCGTCGCTCATTTTGTGTAAATATTCTCGGGACTCATGTCGTGGACGTACAGACGTAACCATATTTTTTACTAAGGGCGCTATAAAATGTATGTTGCCAAATATTCAAAGGAGTGAATGCCGAGGCTATACGTGATAAATTAAATCTTAATTATTTCGTATAATTGTAACTGAATACTACCTTTTATGGTCGAGTATCACAACGAATTTGGAAGTGTCTGTGTAATACAGTAATATTTAGATCTGAATCACGGAATTCAACTGAAGTAATGCTGACGTAAACCATTGAGATAATTTTCTAACGTCTCTGTAATAATGTAACTTCAAAGGTAACGTAACTCAGAGCGAGAATCTAAGGGCCCGTAAAAATTTGAAAATTGAGTGGACGAACGAATGTTGCAAAATGAAACGAAAAAATCGTTATACAGGGTCGCTATTAAAGATGGAACCCGAGCTCTCACGCTCAAACCGTTTGAAATATAGACATGAGAATTAAAACACTTCCATTTGAAATTATTTCATTATTTCATCATACATTTTGAGGTTTTGACACAAAGTTTTTCTAATTTTTCTGTATATTTTCTAATTTAACATAATTCATGATTAAGGTAGTAAGAAAGAGAAAAAATAAGCTTTCTAATGACGTACTCGTATAATGATCTATGTTGCTATTTAAAAAAATCAAGATGGTGGCTGCACTCAAAAACCATGCGTTAAAAAAATTTTTTAACCTCAAAATGTATTTCAAATGGAAGTTCTGATTTTTATGTCCATATCTCAAACGGTTTGGGGCGAGAGCGAGAGCTTTGGTTCCATCTTCTATAGCGACCCTGTAGCATTGTTTGTTTCCTGTAGCTATATTGTTCTTATTTAGACATGTTAATGAATCATATAATTGACAATAAAAGACGTGTAAAACTATACCACAATAATTACTGCATAATAAAACTCTAAACTGAATATTTCGTAAAACACAATTTGAAATTTTACACGATAATTGTCAATGCAAAGGTAGACCTATCAGAGATTTTACCTACTGTGGTGTAGTTGTGGAAAAAAAATCTTTTACTAGTTTCTTCAAGAGTTTCTGGATTCCTTTTGCTGAGTGTTCTTGGAGTTAGTTTTTTTTACTCGGTTTTTGATGATATTTAAAAAAACAATATGAAATATGCGAGGAAATATGCCTTTAATCCAAACCGAGATCCAAACCTTCTTGGTCGCGAAGCAAGTGAATTATTACATCTAGTGGGACTTCATCGATTCTTTTCTTTATTTATGGAGTGAAAACAAAGAAAAGTGAAGTAAGGTGTTATAAAACGTTGCTTGCGATTTTTAAATGTGGAACAACAATAATATGTGAAATAATTTATTTCTCTATTGTGCAAGTTCTTTTCCTTTTGAATACCAAACAACCTTGTTCAACAATCAACATAGATTGTTTACTACATTTTATTCGATAAAATTTGTTTTTTTTTCCGTTCTAATCACAAAGGTGGTGGTGACATTTCACCACAACGCCTTGATATGACGACAGTATTGATCAAAAGCAGGTAGGGTTGTGATTCATGCTTTTCTATTTTCACGAATTTTGTCGTATTTCACCAGAAATTGTTTGGCGAATCGGGAAATTTTCCAATGGGATAATGACTCCCGTATACACTTTGAGACATCAAAAGTAGTAATTTTGAGTTGTACTTTTACGCAATTTGTTTGACAATGTTAAATGAATGCACCTGTTTAATAATATTGGCGCATTACTGATAAAATCTTGTACTGCATCAAACTTGAAACTTAGCCAAAGGCCTTTTATCGATATACGTCAAAGTAGCACTAATCCTTTGCGAGAAGGTTTCCTGTATTGATGCCAAAGTCTTGATTAGGCAAAGGATCGCGTTAAATACGTGTGTCTGTGTAACGTAGAATTATGTTATATTGATTTTTCATCATACCCTTATGTCTGTCAACATGTGTTAGTAGAAAGCGAACCTAATAATTCTAAGCAGTAAATGTGCATACAGATTGCGATTGATTTTCAAATAATTAACACGTGAAGAAAGATGAACGTAGCCTGGCACTTATGTTAGTTTTTCTACAGCTCTTCCAGATTTAGCCCGTGACGTACAAAAGCGTCATGTCGGCAGTGTGTCTCGAACTATCGGGCGGTAGGCCGCGAAACGGCCTCAAACTACCTTTGAATAGGAGCCTGAGTGAACCAGGTCCTCCTTCACCAAATCATATCTTCCTAAGTCCTCCGAAGAGGTTCAAGCTGGAGTCAACTAGTGTCAGCCTCCCCATAAGTCCCTGCGGTGATAGCACGACTCTTCAACGAACATTAGTATTAACAAAAGTCGGTACATTGGATGCAGATGAACTTACGGCCAAACTAGACACTGCGATTCCTGGTTCGAGGACTTTTTTAATTTTGGATTGTCGGCCATTCATATCGTATAACCTCAGTCATATCAGTGGGGCAATTAATATTAACTGTTCCGATCGTTTTAATCAAAGAAGACTTCATCAAGGGAAAGCGACTCTTGCGGATTTAGCCACGTCGAGGGAAGGAAAAGAGATGCTGAAGAAGCGTACATACAAGGAAGTGGTGGTTTACGATGATGGCACGTGTGATAAAGAAAGAGTTACGTCCGCTCATCCTCTTCTACTCGTCTTATCATCGCTGGTGGAAGATAACCGGGAACCAATTCTGCTATTGGGTGAGTACCCTGATGCATGTACCTACGCACGTCTTTAGCGTCCGTCGCGCTCTTTTGGAAAAACGCCAAGCGTTACCGCGTTATATTTGTTTATTTGCTTGCTACTTACAGCAGTGACTAATACTCCATATATGCAATTTGTACTATTCTTAGAGATAAAAATATGTACGGCGTGGACTTTATTCAACAATAATGTCTCACATTCTATTTATAGATTTCGATTTCAGAATATTTTTACCATTCTAATTGCGCAGTTTCTGATCGACTTGGTCTTCGCCAATACAAAGGTATAAATTTAATTCGAGTGCGAACATGCATACTTAGGTGCAAGCAATCAATTAAGCGGTAATTGTCTCCCCGGCTCTAATTTTTGTTAAATTTCAATCTCGTGCGAGAAAATTCAGGAAACTACCTTGATGCTATTCCAGTTTTTTTCCTAATTTTATTATTATAACAACGCGCAAATTATGAATCACACTTCGCTTAGTTGGAACAACTCAGAAAGGTCGAAAAACTTTGCAACGACAGGTTTATCCTTATCCCAGAGTCGTAATTAATATTGTTAACTCAATTTTGTACCTCAAAATACGTTTATGCACTTTAGTGTGTTAAAATCCGGGTTAAATTGTTCTGTCTGATGGTGACAATCACTAACTTACACTACGCACAATTGCATTCAAAAGAACTAGAACTTCCAGTTTTCAGGTAGACAATTTTTTTATCTTTGGAACGAAATTATGTTTTGGAACAATAAACCTTCGTAGGCCTTAAGTTATATTTTGTAAATAAATGATGATGAGATTCTGGAAAAAGTCGATACATATTTGTTTAACAATTTCACAGAAACTTTATTATTTGCATTTGTTTGATTTCCATTTTGTTGGAATTAGTAATCAATCGATTCGGATCTGTTGTGTGTCTAATGCTCCTTAGTCCTTATCCCTTGACCTTCGCCACGTCGAAAATTGTTCTACATACTAATCATTTACTGAATTTTACAAAAATGTACTCAGAATTTTCTGAATCTACCAATAATTTACTGAAGTTACAAAAAAAAACCAAGTACGCCCAGGCAAATATTTCAAATCCTGCTCATTGCTCTTCAGCTTCAATAGCCATATTAGGAGATTTGAACGAACATCTTAAAATTGTGAAGAAAATGGCATCGATAAAATTAAGTACCTACCGTAAAACAGAAACGGAATTAGAAATTATACAAACTATGCAGATACGATACTTACATATTTTATGAACTAATTGCGCAATGAAGAGTGTTTTTTCATCGAATACATACACCAAAACATAAAAACAGCTTACTGGAAAAACCGAGGGAAAAACCTTAAATTAAAAATTTCTTTAATTTTGTTACCCTAATATTCGTTTTTTCTGTAGGTGTTTGAAAAACATGCATACTTTTATTGTTTCGTTGAAAAATATTAAAATCGCCTGGAGGCCGCCATGGAATTTTTATGTTAGTGTACAACAAGTGAAATTAGTATTCGAATTAGAGGAAGTAATGGAATTAGCCGTGGAATTATTCGTAATGGTACTGGAGTATATGTGATATGACTGCATTAATGTAGACCAAAATTGGTCGGTCCAAATAGAGCTAAAAAAACCTTTTTTGGACATAGCGATTTGATTGTTCGGTAGGTATGATCTTTTCGATTTTTTAAAAAACTTTCAAAATTTTGAGTCACCCGTAAACGGAAGCCTACGACGAAAGTTGTCCGAATTTTACGAAATTTTCGAGATACACTTTCCATTTATTTTGCGTATTTTACCGTAAAAAATTCCGAAAACTCTCGTTACTTTATGTTTCGTTGAGATTGGAATTTCTTTCGCATTCCCAGTTAGGCGAGTGTCATCTTGGTATATGGGATAAATGTTTATGAACACGCAGAAACAGACACAAAATTGTTAGTTCCATCCGTTTAACTATTGTAGTTTGCAGTGAGGAAAATTAAGAATGACCAAGAAAAATATTTATTTTTATGGTCAAAGACCACTAAATACGACACTTCGTCGAGATTATTTCGTGCAAAATCCGAAATAAAATCAGAAATAAATAGATAAATCAGTAACATCTCTTTGAATTTTTTTATGATAAACTGGTAAAATAATGGGCGTGATAATGAATGCTGAATGTTATAATTCAAAAAGAATCGGCGTTGACTGTAATTCCAGCTAAATTGTTAATAGATTTTCTTTTATGTTTCAGATATGTGAGACCCCTTAATAATTTGTACAGACGGCACCCTGTATGACATTCAGTTCTCGAGATATTCGCACTTCCAAGTCATCGCCAATACATATGTTTCGTCCAAACGTTCCTATCGCCTTTTGTGAGTACCCTCTTCCGACACTCTGTTCTTGAGATATTTATACTTGCAGTTTTCACCCCACGAATAGATGTCCCGTCCAGCGATTTCATTTTTTCTTTGTGCGTACCCTGCCCCCGACACTCCGTTCTCGAGATATCTTCCCTACCATAGATCTCGATAATGGGGTCTGGGGGAAGGAATGTGGTTGGTAAAAATTAATTCCTGTCGTTGAGACCTTTCATTCACGAGGATGAATTGTTAATTATACGCACTAAAAGAAAAATTGCAACAATTAACTACATTTACTAAAGATGCGATAAACAATATGAAATTTCCGAAAGTATCAATAAAACCGACATTACCAAGGAACAACAACAATTACAACAAAATTGCTGAGTGATCAATCCTTTGATCTTTGCATTCCTTATTCTTTTGTACGACGGTGACTTTAAAATATGATGTTTCATTCCTTCGTATTTCACTAAGTGTTAATTTAGGAAAACGGCAGTAATGCGTTTTGATACTCCAGCTGCAAAATTTACCACTGGATTGTAGTTTGTAGTGGATTATCAGTTACCCTGATCGAAGATTTTGGAACCACGTAAAAATGTAATATATACCACTTAATTAATAACGTGCCTTTTCCAAGCCCTTAATTACAAATTTCGTGTATTACTTATTTATCGGACGGATGTATCGGACACGGCGTGCGGTTACTTCGATATTTTACACGTTTTCGTACTTTAGGTGTAATTTGTGTATTTTCTCATAGCAATTTTGAAAAGGAGAATAAGAAAATTTAGGTCGCCCTTATTTATGTAAACCGTCGCTAGTAGGGTAGGTAAGAGATAGGTAACGAAATTTATTAAAAAAAAAACCCTCTAAACTTCATTCTAGATTCTCCTACCCGGGACCCTTGTTTACCTGTAAATGGTCATGGGGTCTTAAATATCTTAGAAATCATTGTTTAATCCCGTCCTAATAACCCTAACGGAATTTTGTGTCTATATTACGCACATGTTCTAAAAGCATTTTAATCTCTGTATGTTACAGCAGCACCACAAGGTATAATGTTTGATTACCTACGTCCACATTTGTCGAATAAACTAAACACACCACCATTAACGAGTAGTAGGTCTACATCAGTGCATGTATTATTAATCTTGTTCTGTGAGTTTGTATCACTGTGCGATAAAGCGTCACACTCCCAAAAGCGGGCTAACGCGTATTTATCATATCACAATGAATAAAATAATAAAGTGGGAATGAGCATCAGAGACTTTCCACAGCATTATTTATTCGAAAATTAATTCTAAACTTTATTCAAATACTCAGATATGTCGCCCAAATGGGGCTGATTACAGAAAAGTATAAACAAAAAAAGACGAGGCCCATATTTTAGACATACGGAGTGTTTAATCAAAGTGGTGTTTCCACTGGAACATCCTGTATTCTTTTAAGTATTTAAAAATTGAATTTATTAACTCAAAGCGAGACTCAAAGTATATTTCGCTAAGATTTTGTTTGAAAGAAATAGTCTCATTTTCGAATATAGAAGAACAAAACAATATTAATTTATTACGAAATTACCTATACAATAAATAAATTATAAGAAACCAGCGGTCGATCAAATGAGATGTTAATTAATGTGACCTTTATGTTGATTTGGGCAGGCTTGATTTCGTGTGCAAAATGACTTATATTTTAATTTTTGGAGATAATTCATGGCATTGCCTCGCGTATTCTTGGTTTGATATTCTCTTTGTTCGTACAGAATAATAATACCTTGTCTTATACAAAAATCCAACTTTAGTCAGTGTGAACATCTATCGGAATAACGACCATGACATCCTCGACTGATACAGCATTTTGTAAACTTTTGTAGGTCGTTGTTTGCTGGATTTTTGAGTGTGCGAGTTCTTATAAGTCCCTATCTGATGTGAAAGGGTTCAATTACGTAATGGTACACTAAATTTTCTTATAATTCAGCTTGATACTTTAATTTTTATTTAGAAAAACCTCCCTCTAAGCCACTATCCTATTCGCATGGTATATAAAAGCGTGATTTGGGGTTTTTGGGGGGCGCTCATTTTGCGTATTTGGCTCGAAAAGAGGATAGTAGCATTGTTATCGCACCATGAATAAGTACTTGAGACCACGTTTTTTTCGCAGCGGAAGCCATCAGAACTGATTACATAATTTGAATATAATACAATCAATTGAAGTTATATTTAAACTAAATAACAAGATAATAGAAAAAAGATATTGTCTGATATGTACGGCTTTCTAGAAAATAAGTTCATTTTACCAAGAATTGTTTTACTTTGTGATAAGCTAATAGTTAATCGGTAAACAACGAAAGGTGCTAGGAAATCTTACTTTGATAAGCATTTTCGTGCTCAACTTTTCTATAAAAGGTGCATTTTGTAATGCTTCAACCTGTAGGACCGAGATTCTGTTACTTTTCATCAGGTATTACTTTTGCCTTTTTTGTCCACACAAAAGGGCGTTGTAACTTACAGAATTAGTAATAGTTTGTATTAACACTCACAAAATTGAAGAGCTAAGATAACGTTTGATAGTGTATCACTCTCATGCGATAATACCTACATATTTAGTGTAACTATGACTACTATGAGTAAGACATTGGTGAATCAGTAATTCAAATAAGTATAGAGTACCTAATTAGTTTCATCCCCTGTTGACCTGACAAACCATTCGTAATCCCGATATTTAAGGAGGAAATAAACACGGCAGATGGTTACATAGTTCCCAAAATAGTGGTGTCCAATACTACGACTTACCAGTAGTCATTCCATTCTCGAAAACCTCGAATTCGGAGTAAATCGGTTTCCTATTCGACGAATTGTGTTGTTTACTAATTCAAGCATTGTTTGTTCATTCTAATTAGGAAATTGCCTGTGATGGCTTCCATTAATGAATCATTACAAAGCAAAAATGAGATCTATTCAGCACGTTACCTAAATTTAAATGTTTATGTATCATACCCTTATTAACACAAACGCATTTCCACACTATTTATACTTTCCTCTAACGTTGCGTAATAAAATAAAAATGTCGGAATTATTTCACTATATCTTACTCATCATAAGTCTTTCTATTTGGCTCAACTTAGTCACTATCTATGGTTTGTATTTACTACGAATCGTTGGACCTTTTTGGGAGATCACGTATTTACCTCATCTTTATTGGAAATGGGTATGCTAATATTTTTATACTTCGATAATTGAAACATTTTCAAGCACGCAATTTTACAAATGCCCAAAGTCTCTTTATTCTTGATAAATCGGTATATTTGTCTGAGAAGTAAATATTAAACAGTTTCCTTGTTCTATTGCACCATATTCGGTTACCTGTATTGTATAAGATACCTTTGTCTATAAAATAGGATTTTCAAAATTATGTAAGTACAGAGCTGGGTAGTGCTTGCATTAAAGGTGCATATAAATTACTCCGATTTACTCAAAAAAGACCCCCGTTTGCAAACACTGAGGGCTTGCAAGCACGCTGGGTGCTTTCGAGCACTGAATTTAGATATCAAATGTATGTCCATTGATTGCTTTCTTGTTTTTCTGCATCCTAAAAATCGTATGTCGTAATATTCGAACTTGAAGGGATAGTTTGAATAAGAAAGACGAAGACGAAACAACGAAACTAATAGCGCTACTTTCCCTTATGAACATGCGCTAAATGAAAATGTATAAGAATGATTTTTACCTTACAAATCATTTGTACAGGGTGTAAATCGAAAAGTGGAACATAGGCGTTTAACATGGGAAATTACTTTTTCTTTGCGCAAACGTTTCCTAATTATTTTACGCAAAAATACTTCAAATAAAAGTTATAGAGGTATAAATTCTGCATCTAAATCATGTGAAACGATTATTCTACCTTTTCTTGTACGCGAAAAAATTAATTATAAAGTTTTCACGAGTTTTTAGTCTAAGTAGCCATGAACTATGTTTTTCTTTTATCATAGTCCCATGGCTACTTAGACTAAAAACTCGTTTCAAACTCCAAAAGGCTTGGTGTTTTGTCATTATTTGATTGCGGTAATTGGTAATTGCAAGCATTTGTTCAATTCAAAGGGCTTAGTGTATTGCAAGCACTTTTTCAGAGTGCTTCATACATCTCTGCGTAAGTATAAACCACTTTACCACAAAATTACATGATCAGTTTCATATAGGTATGAAGCAGAGCGAGCAAATCCCCGAGAACTGACCCTTAACTTTCAATGCAAATCTTGGGTTTTAGCTTTTTGTAAAACATTTTCCATAATGACAAACTATAAGGCGAGCTATAAAGCTAAAAGAAAAAAAAATAAGTTTTGGCTTATTCGTTGATGAAAACTTGTTGGTATCTACTTCAGCACTCTGTATAATTCGGTGATCAAAGCCGTCGGGAAATATGCTTTTTTACTATGCGTTGAGAGCAGTTCGTCCGTATGTGTTTTTTAAGTCGAGGTTCTTTCCTAATTCTTGGCATGATTTCAAAGCTAGCGGAAGTTACTTGCTGATACGACAATTCGGGTCTGTAACGAAGTTTAGTGTGCCTGTGGTTTTTGGGAGAAAGAATCATGATTATCGAAACTTATTACTCTTCCGTAGTGTCTACCCCAAAACAATTTCCCATTTTTCGTTGAGAAATACACGAAACAAGTAAACAAGTAAGGCAGCGCATTTTCCATGAATTGACCAGTACTTCCCAAAAGGCCACAGATCTGTGACTGCGTTATGTTTTTCGTTACTAGAGGCATATACCGGGTGGTGACTTGAACAACGCACAATATAGGAATTTCAATAGTAATTTTTTCAGTACTGATTATTGGCTTCCCTAATTATTTTAGAGATAAAGTCTATTTAAGTTTTTGGTAGAGAAAAGATTACGAATCCATGCGTATACTATAGCTTTTAATTTTTTGACCTTTGAAACCAATAGGTAAATTGTATAACTAAAAACTTTTATGAAAATCAGTGGTGCCATGGGAGTTTGAGATCAAACAAAGCCAACTAATGGCAAATGCAGGCGCTTTTGTTTGATTTCATAATTCCATGGTATTATCGACTTTATAAACGCGACAGTTTTTAATTTTTTAATTTTTACTGTTTCTGAATTTATAAAATAAGAAACCATAGTAGGTACGTACGGATTCGTAATTTTTTTCTCTACAAAAAACCTAAATTGACTTTATTTCTAAAATAATAAGGGAAGCCAATAGTCGGAAATTAAGAAATTATTCTCGAAATTATTATTGAAATTCCTGCGTTCGTTAAGTCACCACCCCGTATGGTTAAAATTTCAAAGAAATATCTACAAATTTTATCGTAATCGGTCTATTCGTTATCAAGATATCTCCATAAATAAGAAGGTTGGCATTGCGCAGTGTCCGCATGCGCACATCTGATTTTTACTATATGCGATATGTTTGCGTTTACTAGAAGTATCTGTGGTTAAAATTTTAACAAAATATATTAATAAATTAGCACGTTCACTTTACACAACCTGCGCATGCGCAGTTTAATCGTCAATATTTTCGTTGACTCAGGTGCCAGAGCTATACGCTACCGAATGCAAAAAGAAGAACTAAATACATATCTTGAAAACTGTAGGAGTCGTTAAGGCCTCGGACAGAGAAAGTGACTGCAATAGCGCACCCAATTTCGTTGGAAAATGCGCTAAACATGAATTTTGACAAAATAAATCCGGTTACGGTGTCATAGGATTGAATCGTATTGATTTTGAGCCCATTTCTTGTTATACCGAAAAGGGCTTCTAATATAGCAAAACGAAGATTTTCCAATATTTAGTGTAATTAGTCCAGTTTCTTTTTGAGTATGAAAATATTACGTATCTAAGGAGAACGCGCTAATTCTGTTGCCCTATTTTGCTTGTTTTTAATTGATAGATGTGACGTAAACTGACTGTTTGTGTTTATAGTTTTTGTTTTTGATCACATGCAGAAAACTGCAACTTTCCAAAAAATCGATTTCTGTTTCCATCCGACGTTAATTCTCTTGACGACTCAGAATCGAAGGTTAAACAATTATCAGTCTCGATGTTTTTGTGTCATATGTCATCGGTCAAATACGTAATACGAAAGCACAGCTCTATATGAGATAAATCCCATTTTCCAACATGCTTTCTTCTTAGCATACTATCTGATTTGATTTATAAAATTCATTTTTATCGTCACGATTTACATCATTCTAAACTTACGTAACGAAGAAATACAGATAAATAGATTTATGTTTCGTCAGTCGATTAGAATGCAGATGCTAGATTTGTGTTGCTATATGATTTTCTTCTGTAGATATGATTATCGGTAAAAGACGATTACCTCTTATTCATTATCCCTATGAAATCTATTAAAAAATGCCGTTTTTCTGTTTTTGTAGTGACGCTTTGATGTCTTCGTAAAGTTATTACTTATTTGGCATTCTCAAAACTTTTTTACATGTTAAGATTTTTGTGATTTTAGAGATGATACAGAAAAAATATCACGTAGGTACAGTTTTGCCTGTTGCAAATTCTAAGAAATTTGTATGTAACGATCCCTTTACGTTTACGCATATTATTTGATGTTGCACACTCATAGGGAGTTCTACTTACAAGGTGACTAATTGAGGGGTGATAGATAGCTTATATATGGTCTTCCGTTTAAGCATGCTTGAACATTGAGATCACGCAGATAATATCGACCGATTGTACGATTACGGAATTACAAAATATGACATCTTTGCAACTTTCGAAATCTATAACGGAAAAGGAATAAGCAAGTCACAAATTGGCAAACATTGTCAAATAATGACCACGATCATGAACCATCAATTTTTAGTTCTTAGTCATATGAGAGTTTGATCCTTTTCGCAAGAAAATATGTCTTTACATACTACCCGACATAGCGAATCATCAAGTTTCACCTTTTTCAAAAGACACATGACGGACCAAGTCTCAGATCAACATAGAGGCAAAGGGATACAACATTTAACGCATTATCTGTAATATTGTAATAGTGTACGTTTTCTACTCGTGATAGAAACTGCAGATCTTTTCACTTTATTACATGTTCCTTCCGAAAAGAAGAGAAACGGCTGTAAATTATTGTTAAAATGCGCTGCAATTTTTAGCGCGAACCGCAAAGTGCTTACCTCATTTTTCCGTCCGTCTGTCATCATTTCACGATATCCCTTGACAAGGTATTGACTACGGACCATCACCAAAGGGCGTGATTTGCAACGATTGAAAGAAGTTTTCCTAACGCTCTACAATACGAATAGGTCGTCATGCACGCAAGTGTAGGGTTAATACATTTTCTCACGTTTTCTCATTATTACAAGTTGAGCTATAAATGTTGATCATTTAAGGCATTTTCCATATGTATTACAGTTGAGCGAATTTCTACAAAATTCACAATCCCCTACAGCCTTAGGAGAGCAACTTCCGTATATTGGCTGAAATGTTATCTGCAACTTACCGCAATAGATTAAAAATTAAGTCAGTCAAGGACTCGGTAGTTTCCAGTTTCCCACCGTTAATTAAATTAGTCGACCAAGAACATCATAGTAGCGAGGTGTTTTGGCCACCTATGTACAGGGTGTCTCAGATCGGGTGGGGTTGCATGGGTAATTTTGTGATCATTATATCAGGGATTGGATTAAATGGAAAAAGTTGTATGCTAATTAAAAGACTCCGCTTAGAAAATTTGAAAAATTGACCCGATTAAAAGGTATTTAAAAAAACTGAAAGGTGTTGATTTCCAAAAATAATCATTAATAAGTTTCCCATTTTTACAAACGCAAAAATATACCAAAATGAAATTCAATATGGCGGTTGCTACGTATGTATATCAACTTTCTTTTGTTAAATGGATGCCATATTGGGTTTTTACATAATTAAACAGTTTTTTTGTTCTATGATAAAACAAAGAATACTTTTAAAATCTATGATATACAACCTATGGTCGATTAAAGTACATATAATTAATTATTAAATTGATTCAAAAAATTCATTCAGCTTAGGTACTCCATTAAAATGTCAAAATAATCACTTTTACTAGTATTCTTCAATAGGTATAGCACCAAAAAAAGTTCATATTAAACTACATGTTGAGATCATTATTAAGTTTCTCCGAAATGGGAGATGTTCATTATAAATTTTCTTCGATAATTAAGGTAGGTAATATTTCATTTTTTGAAATTCGGCGACCTACAGTTTCTTTAATTTTCAAATTATCTACGTGATTTTAAACAGCATACGAGACTGCAAAATGTGTACCTATACAATCCCAGTTGATAATCTGAGAGCCTCGGTATATAGAAAAACAGAAGTAAATGACTTTATTTGCACTTGACAAGCAAAACAATTGCAAACCTATGTAAACACGTATTTTATGCATTTAATTGTTTGGATCGGTCTGACAATCATCATCGTATGATTTGATGAAGAATGCTGATTTTTTAACACGTCGGAGGGTGTATAAGTTCTTCTTCATGCACAAGTTATTGCCAGAGTATCTATACCAACTTTTGTTCTTCAGACAAGGTTGAGAAAATCACCTTTTTTCACGTTCTTAGCGTACCTTTCCAATGAAAAATATACCTGAACACATTCCGTTCGTCCGTCGGAAGTTTGACATCTCAGCATTGAGACTACGTAGATAATTGTATATTTTCAATAGGTTTTAAGGTGTATAATGGATGAAAAGAAAATGTTTTTATAGAGCAAGCATATTCCAACTTAACTTGTTAGATATTTCGAAGAAATGTTACTTGAAGTTAGGTTTTTGTATACGTTTAAAAAA